ATATTTCAGTGCCATCTAAGTCTGGGCAGATTACAATACAATAAACAATAAAAACACAATACAGAACAAAACAAAATGGGATCTGGTCACTGTGCAAAACCATAGACAAAATACATCCCACAGGGGGCTCCATCCATCTTAACCCAAGGCCTGGGAAAACAACAAGGTTTTCAAGGCCTTATGGAATACCAACTGGGTGGGAGCCACATAGATTTCAGGGGGGATCTTGTTCCAGGGGACATAAGATTGCTTCACCTATTTAGCAGAGACCCAGCTATTCTTTTACCCCAGATCTTTTATCTTTCAAGGACATTTTAATTAACAAATGTGAAATCCTTGGGAATATATTCGTTTTAATTGGGGGTATATTCCTCATTCAAGAAATGTTAATGGAAGATACATAAACAGAAATTTAAAGGAGCTTAAATATAAGCATTCATTGCATGAGGGGAGGCTTTTTTTGTCTTCCTGCTCCTAAATACTATTATTTTGATGGAATTTGGCTGTTACAGCCATGGTATATTTGCAGTGCTATATTCCTTCAGTATGCAACTGATTATTTCTTTCTATTCTGTTGCAGAGAGACATGGTCAGGGTGGTATAAACTATGGCCCAATTCTATTATAAGAGAAGCATCAGTGCCCCTTACAGAGATCGCATCCCTCTTCGGATCGTACGAGCAGAATCTGAACTTTCGCCGGCCGAGAAAGCCTATTTGAATGCTGTAGAAAAAGGAGATTATGCCAGTGTGAAGCAAGCCCTGGAAGAAGCAGAAATTTATTTCAAGATCAATATTAATTGCATTGACCCTCTTGGAAGAACAGCTCTCCTCATTGCAATAGAAAATGAGAACTTGGAGCTCATAGAGTTGCTCTTGAGCTTTAATGTCTATGTTGGAGATGCTCTGCTACATGCCATCAGGAAAGAGGTGGTTGGTGCAGTTGAGCTACTCCTCAATCACAAGAAGCCCAGCGGGGAAAAACAGGTATCTGGGGAAGCTACCAGTTTATGAGGGAGCATTCACCCCTACCAACCATTCCAAAGAAATATCTCATAGAATCAGTAGGGCTTTAGGCTAAGATCAAGTGTGTGTGAATCAGTAAGATTGATTGTGATAGTAACTCATAAAGGTTGAAAATACAGGGTATTGCATATGAAAGGTTCACTACTGCTTTCTTATGTTGCTTCTATGTCTTGTTAATTACACCTTAAAAATTAATGATTTCCTTAAGCTCATATCCCCAATGTGGCTAATAAATCATCTGACTACAGAGAGGGACATGCAGAGAAAGAAAACTGACATGTAATAATTGTGGTGTGTGCCAAAAAATAATTTCTTAATCAAATCCTTATCTTCTCTTAAACCTTTGTCAGTAGAAATAATGACCATGATCATTTGGCAGAACATTTGTGTGTCAGCCCTTATAGAATATTATAGTTTTCTTAGAATGAGGGGTGAATGCCCCAGAGCCCGCAATCTCTTCCTTTCCACTTCCCTTTCTTTTAAAAATATTTTCCCTTATTGCTGCAGATTCTTGCTATAGCCACCAAGACCTGTAGCTCTCTTCTTTCCTGAATTTCAGCCACTAATTTTAGATGTTGGGGGAAATCATAAAGAAATAATATATTAAGTCACATTTCAAAAGCCAATTTCAATATTAATGTTGGCATGTGTGGTGACTGTTCATTCAGTTTTACATCCCAAATCCCACTGTTAATTTTAAGCTCCGGTAAAAGGACTTCTGTGATAAGCATGCATAACATTTTCCAGGCCAAGGAACTGCAGGGTAAAGGGAAACTGGTTTAGTAAAAATACTGTAATCACTAAGTACTAAATATGTCTATGTCTATGTTAAATTAGTCAATCTCTGAACACCTAGCCATCCTCCAAAAAAGCTAAGTTGGATGGGATAAACCACCAGGAAATCCCAGGGCTGTAGACTAGCCTCAAAAATATGCATTTTACAGAGGGGGACAATGGCAAACCAACTCTGTAGTGCCACCATAAGAATAAAATGGATGTGTCTATATAGTCACCAGGAGCTAAGCTCAACTCAAGGAAGTGTTTATCTTAACTTTATAGGCTAAATATTCCCATTCTCACCTTATATACACCATACATTCACTGCATATTCTCATATATCTTTAAAATCTGACTAAAGAAAGTTGTTCTTCCCAAGCTACCTTGATCATAATTTGGTTTCCCCTCTAAACTACAACACATTATTTCCTTCCTCCATACATCAGTTTTATTTTTGCTGCCTTCTGACTGAATTATCACTATGTTCTGATTGAGGAAGGCAGAATGCAGAGCAGGAAGGAAGGAAGAAGAAAGCTACAGGTCTTGATGGCTGAGCAGGAATCGATAGCAGTGGTGGGGGGGAGGGGGGGAGTTAAAAACAAGGCAAGAAGCTAGGTCTGGGGTTGCCTTGTTCTAAACAATATGGATGAAATCACATATCTGATGCCAGACCATTGTTTTATACTGGCTTTTAGACAAACCTCAGTTCAGAGGAGCTGTGTAAAAACAAGCTATGGTTTGTCACAACCATAAATGGAAATTCTTACCTCTGCCCTCTTGTATGTAGGAATGAAGTAAGAAATACACAGAACTATACTTACCACAACAGGTCTGATCTGCAACTCATAGCCAACACCTTCATCCAAACACTGTATATCTGAGTGCAAAGAGCAGCAGACCATCCTACCAAAGAACGTCAGCCAATCAGTGCTCACTGCCCCACTTCTGCTTCTAACATTCCATAAATTAATTGGAAGAGAAAAAAGACACTCCCAATTTTAACAGGAGCAAAAAAAAACCAAACCAAGAAAACCAAATATAACCCTTCCATATACATATGTAAGTCCTTGAATTGTCCCATGTTTTGCATGCATTCGACTGGTGGGTGCAAATCAGTATTGCTGATGAAGTGAATTTTCTCTACAAACTTACTAGTGTTTCATATTTGTTGGCTTTCATGTTGGTATTGTACCATTCAAATAGTTATCTGCAGAGTTGGCTGGGAAAAATATGGACAGTGGAGCAGGAATGTCCAATCAGAAAACAGATGCCAGTAGTTACTGAAAAAATAAAGTGTATTCAGCCATAGTGTAAGCAAAACAAAAGAAACTTGGTTTCCAAGGGGTGCTGGAGAATTGGAGTAACTGAGAATGTACAGTGTACATGAACATTTTTGCAGTGAAAAATATGATTGGAAGAGTGTCAAATTGCAAAGATGGGGCATTGTCTCTGTGTTGTGCGCTCACAATCTCAAGAAACACAGTCTCAAGAAACAGGGATGCTTTTGTTTATAATGGCTATTCATGTGTTGCAAGCTGTGTATGAACATATCCAGATAACGTATTCTTAAATTAAGCTATGGAGGCTCTCTAGATTTGAACTGTGAAAGCAGTAGAACAGCATTGCTCCTCTTGCATAGCCATAGAATTGGATGATTAGTATACATCCCCATTGACTTTGCTTGTGGGAACCCAGCAGTGAAGGTCGCAAATGGCAATCACGTGACTGCAGGGTGCTGCAACCATTGTAATTGTGCACCAGTTGCCAACCACCCAATTGTGATCACGTGACCATGGCTGCAACTTTGAGGACTGGACGTAAATCTTCTTGTTCAGCACTGTCATAACTTTGAACAGTCATTGAATGAGTGGTCGCTAAGTGAGGATTACCTGTATTTAGGATGTGTAGAAAATGTTTAGTTATACATTTCATATAGATGTTCTCTTTGTGAGAAGGAAGATGAAACCAAACTGGGAAAGAATTTTAAATGGATTGATATGCAGTAAGGAAACATGCATTTCATACTATACTCAAGAGGGCATTTACTGCATCCTAGTGCCTCACCTAGTGGTGCAAAACTCTGGATGATCACTACAGTAGCTAGTAACAAAAAAGATACAGAAAATTCAGATTCCTTGCTACCTGGATATTTATAATCCAGATATGATAGCCCCATATTCAGTTTGAGGCATGCTACTGGAGCAAAATTTAGCCCAAGTTTTTGTAATCCATTTAAATATGGAGATTCCTTAAACAATACATTGCAAAAATATTTTTAGCTGAAGTACATTTGACTTTCTGTCCTACAAGTTTCATCCAGCACTCTTTAGGGAGAAAAAGGCAGCTGGAGCAGAGAGAGATGTTGAGAGCTTGTGACAGGAGTGAGCAAACAGGAGTTTTGCAAGGAAGGGGTTGAGTCTGGAATTGATCAACTGCGATTAAGAAAAGTTGTTTGACTAAGTGGAAGGCTGTGTATTTTTTTCTGGCTGAATGGGATGTGTATCTATTTGCTGAGCACATATTTGAGTGGGTGGGCTTGCAGCTGCAGCTGACTCACTAATCAAGTGCTTAGCTAGGGGTGAAGTTGCATTCCTCAGTCACCACTCTTTACAAAAAGGAAGTCAGTGGGGAGCTTATGGCCACTGTGAGTGAACAAGAAGGCAAATAGGAATGGGAATTATATTAGGATATTTCATAAAACGATAGAATTTTGGAGTTGCAAGTCCAACTCTCTACATTGCACAGGAAAATCAGTTAAAGCATCCTCAAGTGCTAGCTGTCCAGCCTCTTCTTAAAACCTCCAGAGATGAGGAAACTACAGAGATGAAGAAATGAATGAAGTACATTGTTCCACCTTTGTACAGATTTTCTTCTTGGCAAGCTGCAATTTATATGCTTTATTTCTGGTCCTAGTTTCTGTGGCAATGGAAAATAGTTCCTGACTAATAATTCCCAAGAAGGTGAAGACCAAAATTACCAATACTACATAGTATGAAGGTAGAAAGCCAGCAGGGGAGATAGTGCTTTCCAGTTTTTTTCAGAGTGTCAAATGTAGATTATTTGCATATTGAGCATATGTTCTAGATTTGTGCTTGGTGAAATGAGCTGCTGGCTCTCAGGAAATGCCCATTCCCTTGAAAGCAAGGGAGCAGGGTTGGATATGTTTAGAGAGGCAGAAGGAGGAACTTCTGGGAGATAATAGATTCAGCTTACTCTCAGCATGGTAAGTCCCTTCCTGTCAGGGAGAGGACAAGGGTCTTGAAGAAAGAGGACATCATTTCAAGGATGAGGAAGTGTAGGAGGGATCAAATGAGCCCCCATCTTCTTGTATCAAAGATACAAAGATCTCTCTGAGGGCAGAGAGTTTTTGATTAGGGTGATTTGATCATTTAGAACACAGAGAGATGGGTTTGCTACTGACATGTAGATAGCATAGCAACTTCTTGTGTAGTGCAAAGATTGTAACATGTCACATGCTATCAAGATAAGCTACTGGACAGTACTCAATAGGAGGCGACAGTTATGATCCACATTGGCATATTTGGAAATATACTCAGCCAGTCCTAGAAGCCAAATTTAGGCTGCTAAATAACAGACTGAAATCTGGGATCTGTTCTGTACACAGGGTGAGCCAGCTAGACAGACAGAGCTCAGAGGTCTCTGTGTATGGATGTGACAGTGCTCCAAGTAGTGACTGTCATCTGGTGCAAGATGCAATTGTTTTGGAAGTGATAAGAAACTGTGGCAATAATGCAAACAGGAAATTGTCAGCAGCATCCAATATATCACATTTGACTAAAGTAAGTTTTTCTCAGAACTGGAGGAACTGGTGAAAAGGGAATAAAAGGATCTCCTTGCTGGGTGAATGGCAAAAGTAGTTTAGTTTAAGTAAGCATAACATTATATGGATTATGACCAAAAAAATCCTCTGGATTCACATATATACTCTGTAACTAACTAGAGAAAAAAACAGCTACTGGATAACTCAGTGAAGATGTCAACTCAGTATATGACAGCTATCAAAAAAGCAAATTCCATACTTGGGATCATTAGGAAATGGACTGAAATTAGAACTGCCAACTTTGTAATGTACTTATACAAATTGATGGTGCCTCTACTTGTATACAGTATACAGTTCTGGCTGCCACATTTGAAAAAGGATATAATATAGCTGCGAAAAAATGCAGATGACAGCAACCAAATTCATCAGG